AATCAAACTTTATTAAATAAGAAATAAATGAAATTAAATAATCAAATTATTAAATCTGAAATATTGTGATTAGATTCCTAACCTGAGCAAGATTCTCTCCTCTCTCCCAAGGACAAGTAGAGCCCAGTGATTTAAAAAGCGTTAGGCGCTAAGGTCCAAAAACGCCCGAGGCGTTAGGCGCTTGCCCAGGTGCTCGCCCGAGCGAAGCAAGACACTAAAATATAAAAATATAAAATATAATTAATAAATATAATTATTTAAAATTTTAAATAAAAATATGCTATTAAATTAAGAAAATCTAAGATACAAAATCATAATATCAAAATTAATAATTTCAAATAAACCTAATACTATTAACAGTATACAGTATACTGTTAACAATATACAGAAGGAAAAGAAGGAAGAGTGTAAGGGGGTGCTGACTGAGAAAAGAGGAAGCGGTAGCAGCAGCGGGAGCGGGAATGTAAGGAGGCAGCGGCATCGGGAGTGTAAGGAGGCAGCGACAGCGGGAGCGACGAGCAACGGCAGTGGGAGCAAGAGTGGGAGCGGGAGCAGGAGCGGCGAACGGTGACAGCGGTTGCGAGCAGCGACAGCGGCGAGCAACGGGAGCGGGTGCGGCAGCGGCAATGAGCAGGGTTAGGGTTGGACAACGACAACTGATATCGGTTTTAGTTGGTTCGATTGAACCAACTAACCATCGGAGACCGAACCAGACCTAAAATCCTGGTTCGGTCGCCTGGTTTAACCCAGGCGCTCGCCCGAAGCGCCTAGCGCTTGGGCTCGGGCGAGCGCCCAGGCGGCGCCTCTTTGAAGCGCGTCGCCTCGCCCGAGCGCCTAGGCGAGCGCCTGAGCGCCTTTTTAAATCACTAGTAGTGCCCTCCTTGTTCATCACAAAAAAGTGAGACCTCGGTCTTCGTAGAGAGGCACAAGACGATCGTCAGAGAGGTAGGTTCTCTGACTCTCCCCTTTATAAATACCGCCATGCAAGTTTCATATTTTTATTAGAAATTTTTTGAAAAATATTTAGAATTATTGATTGATATTATAGATCAAAATACATGAAAACCATGAGTAAACAATCATTAGAAATTTCGTTTTGGGCAATTATCTAATTTGATTTGTTAATATTTTAATTCATGAAATTAATTTTAGAATCCTATTAAATTATGTTTCTGTTTGAATTAAATTATTATGCATGATTAGAACTTTGATATGTTTAAGAAATTTTGAACAATTATAATCGTTAGTAAGGATTTCTAAAAGCTTATCTTTAAAAAAAAGTCAAATTAAATAGAAATTGGAATTGTTCTGACTCAGGTCTGATCTGAGTCAAACCAATCGTTGGTACGATATGGCCTAATATGGCCTATCTAATTGATTGTCTGCTACGCGGCCCAATTTAGGTACGGAACTACAGCTCTGTCCAACATGACCTCAAGCCTGCAACACAGGTTTGGCTCAGGTTCAACAGGCTGGCTTGCCAGCATAGCTTGACGGGTTGATGGCTTGGTGTTGACGTGGTGTAGCTCAGCGTTGCAGCCTAGCCCGGTACCTTTTCCCCCTTCGGTGCATGTGCCGAGCACATGAGCCCCTCTTGGGCTGGTCTAGAATCGGCCCAGTACAGTATTGAGCAAGCCGATCGATTTCTAGTCTTATGTTAGTGTGGATTCGGGTCTGGGTTGACCAGTAGTGTTGTTTTGACCTATTTTATGAGTTTGGGCCCAATTGACTCCTAAATTGAATCTGAAGCGAACTAGTTTGGCTTATTTTGACTGATTCAGGGTTATTATTCTGAACTGATTTAGATCAGTGCAAGCCTGTTTGACCCAAAGGGAATTGCCCTACCATATATTAGCCTTCCTAGAATTAACATGGATCATCCAATCCTCTTATCATTATCAATCTCATAACTTGTGTCAGTCTCTAGACTGAAGCTATCATGTATATTTATCAATTAAAAAATTATTTAACAATATTAGTATTAGGAATCATACCCTAATTAACCCTCAATTGGTTTGAACTCTAATTGAGTCAGTCAAATTGATTTGAAACAGACTTAATTCAGTTAGAACCTAATTGAACAAACCTATCCTCATGGACAAATCTGGAATCACCCTAAATCAATCTAACTTGGACTTGGTTAGGTCCAATTTGGATCAAATAAGTTTGAATTGGTTTAAAACAGTTCGGAATCACCTTGAGCAGGTCAAAATTGGCCAAATTGATTTGGTTCAAATTCAAGGATCAATTGTGCCTGAACTCATAAAACATGTTAAAAATGGATTCTTGGGCCAACCCAAACCTGAATCCATACTAGCACAGGGCTGGAAATAGGTCGGGTTGCTCGGTACCGTGTTAGGCTGATTCTAGACTAGCTCACTGGCTCACTTGCTCAGCACATGCACCAGAAGGGGAAAAGGCACCTGGTTCGACTGCAACATCGGGCCGCACTGTGTCGACTGCCAAGCCATTGATCGATCAAGCTATGGCGACACTTGAGCTGAAAAGTGCCATAGGCTCGAGGTCATGTTGGATCGAGCTACAGTTTGGGTCGGGTCTGTGCTCAGATTGGGTTAGGTAGCATTTGGTCATTTGGCTAGGCTTGATTGGGTCGGACGGTCAATCTGACTCGAGTCAGACCTGAGTTAAAACGATTTCGATTTCGATTTAGTTTGACTTTTTTTTTTCCTTTAACATAAGCTTTTAGAAATCCCTAATAACCATTATAATTGTTCAAAATTTCCTGAACAAATTAAAGTTCTAATCACGCAGAATAATTTAATTCAAACAAAAATATAACTTAATAGGATTTTGAAATTATTTTCATTTAAAAATATTAATAAATCAATAATTCCGAATTAGAAAATTCATGAAAATTTTGGATAAACTTTATGTATTAGAAAAAGTCATGAAGAGCAAAATAAAATTATATATTTATCAAAAAAATTTATGATTATTTGCTCATGATTTTCATGTATTTTGATCTATAACATCAATCAATAATACTTAATATCTTACAGGAATTTTCTAATAGATCAAAAGTAGATTATATATCGTTTAAATACAAAAATGTGAAATTTACATGATAGTATTTATATAGGAGTCAGAGAACTTGCCTTTTCGACGATCATCACGTGCCTCTCCGCTAGGACCTCGTTTCATTGTGATGAATAGGGAGGGCTTTTCTTATCCTTGTATAGGAGAGGAGAGAGGGTTTTGCTATGGTTAGGATTCTAATCAAAATATAATCAGATTTAATAATTTAATTATTTAATTTCAGTTATTTCCTGTTTAATATAGTTTGATTTGGACTCAAACTCCCTTTTCAAAATTATCTTATCATAAAAAAATCATTGAAAAAGGAAATATATTATGAGATATCTTTTTCTTATTCTTATTCGGATTCATTCTGAATTTAATTTATTTGGGGGATTACAAGAAGGCATCGATTAGGTCCTACTCTTTGCTTGGTCCACTTGGGGTGTGGTTACATGAAAGATGAACTTTGGATGTGATAACTAATTTATTCAATGAGTCCAGGCTTGAGATTTTCTGTTTAATCTGTTTATTAGATTTTCACTTCGAACAGGTGATACTGTATCTTCATTACTTCGGGACATACCTTTTTAGTATAAAAACAAGTTGGCTGTTGTATACGTTTGCAGGTGATGGACAAGCATCTGAGTATTCTTGCAAAGCAACATATAGAGACACGCTTTCTGAAAATTCATGCTGAGAAAAGTCCCTTCTTGACTGAGAAGCTCAGGATCATCGTACTACCTACTCTTGCTCTTGTAAAGAATGCCAAAGTTGAGGATTATGTGGTAAATGGTGCATAATTTTCTACTTCCATGACTGAATACCATTGAAAATGCACTAGTTTTACATGTGTTCCCCTCGAAATGGGCTTCAGGTTGGTTTTGATGAGCTTGGAGGCACCGATGACTTCAGTACAGAACAGCTGGAGGAACGATTAGCCAAGTCGCAAGTTATCTCCTTCGAGGGTGAAGCATCATCTTATCCAACCAAGTCCAACAAAACCAAAAGAAGTGTCCACCAATCCGAAACAGCTGACTCGTCTGACTCTGATTAATCCTATGCTTACGTCAGTTTATTCGATGGAATTAGTTAAAAATATTCCACCTGTTTATTCTTGATATTATGCATCTGTCTCCAGAGAATTATTTAGCTTCACCCACGCTGTCGGTCTGGACGTGTGTTGGTGTTGTCACATACGAATTGATTTCATGATATTGAGAGATGCCTTTGGGATTGAACCTTGCAATTTGGGTTTACATAATCGCCGCAGAAGTTTTCTCGAGTGATGTCGCCTCTCCAAATCAGGTGACACAAATCAAGTAAGAAAAGTTTCTGGGGTAATGTTTCTTTTCTTATAAGATATTGGAGTGATGTTTCTTTGCTTGACTGAAGGTTTTTGCCTAATTTATAGAAGTTTGATGTTATGATCTCAATACAGTTCTCATTTAGTGTAAGTATATTTATGTTGCGAAGAATTTGATGATTTCTTTTCCTTCTATCAAAAGTGGAAAAAGATTTCCTTTGCATGTGAATGGTGTTGAAATGGATTATTGATTTAGAAAAATGTGTTAATTAAATATTATTATTTTTACAAGCTCGATTGATTTGGAATGATAGCAAGTTGATTACCCGTCAACGTCCTACTTTTTCTTTAACCCGATTAATTATCTTAATTAATCTCATGCACGTATTTTTCTCATTCTCCTGCTTGCTTTGGTGATGGAACGAGTCCAATTAATCTTCATGCTCCTATTTTTAGTAGAACACCACCAGGGCCAAACCGATCGTCCGAGTTGGAGACTAGGGTGGGGAGCATCTCAAACGAGTCAGGTCCGAGTCGATACTGTTTGACCCACGGGTTTGATCGCAATTGGCACGAGTCACAGGGAGACCGAGTTGACTCGGCGATCGACAGGCGAACCAACTCGGTTTTCATCGGAGTCGGGGTCCACCATGTCGTCTTCCTTTGCCCCTCTCATCGTCTCCAATTGGGACCAACAGCCTCACCAACGCTTCGCCTCCTCCCCAATCCTCTTTGCCCTCTTCTCTCCCTCGGCAGCATGCCGCTGCTTCCCCACGCCCTGCTCTCCCCCGCCATTCCCTTGCCTCTGCCCTCTCTCTCCCTCCCAAAGAAGCCTATTCTCTCCTCTCCCCACCAGATCCCACCCCTCCGGATCTCCTCCCGCCCCTCCTCTTCCTCTCCCCACCTCCCCAGATGCTCTCTTGTCTCCGTTTCGACCGAGGCGCCTCCCAAGGCCGGGGAGCACACCCGGGCGAAGCCGTCCCCCGCTGAGGTTTCCAGGACCATCATGGAGCTCTCCTCCACTGGCACCTTCTCCTCGCTGTCCACCGACGGCTGGCCCCTCGCCATCGGCGCCCGCTTCGTCGTTGATGCTCAGGGCGCCCCTGCCGTTTGCTTAAACCAACCCGAGAGGCTCTTCAAAATTGATGGCCTATCCAGCTTCCATGTTCAGGTTCAAGTTCGGATCTTTATTGGCTTTCGAGCGGCTTATAATTCAGTAATTTGTTTCCTTGTGCCTATGTGCGTGCGTGCGCATGTGTAGTGAGTGTCTCGAGCTCCCAAATCTTATCTTTCTCTTCAAGTTTCAATTTTTATGGGCTCCCTATCAACACTTGGATTCACTTGTTATGCTATGACTTGTGATATGAGTGATTCGGTTACTTTAGGGCACACTAGCCCTAATGTGCTCTATTGGAGAGAAAAGTTAGGCTTTTTGTTATGTTTTTGGGTCGAGTTAGGTTTTAATAGTTTAATGTGTAAAGTGTAGTGCTATAGACACTATGGAGTTTCTGATGCATATGTTGTGCCATTTTCTGGGAGCAGTTTGAGCAAACCAGGTCACGCACTCCACAATGCACGTTACTTGGAAGCCTGAGTAAACCCGATGATGCGTTTCTTCTGAAGGTAATCTATGTTTACTCTCCCTGTGATCATAGGAGTAAGATGGTTAATCTTGTGCTAATCGTCATGCATTCTTGTTTGCTGACTTGTTTTTTAAGTTTGCTTATGCCAATTTTCCTTCCCCCTCTGTTGAGTTCCATGAAACTTATTTGTCTAGATAATTGAATGGCAATGTACAGAGGCTTCGTGCAAAATGGGAGAAGAAATATGCAGAAGAGGTGGGGGAAGATCTTATTTATCTAATTTCTGTAGAGAAGGTGCTTCAAATTGAATATTTTAAGGAGGTATGACTGCTGTCCTTTTTGTAATTTTCTTGAACCAGCATGGAAATTATTGTGGTAACATCTCATGACTAAGTCCCATTGATGAAAATTATGTTGTCTTGGGCATGTTGCCCACTGATTCTAAGATGTGTATTAGTGTCCGCTTGGGTATCTTATTCTTCTTCATTGCTTTGTTCCATAAAGTTGGGCATGATGCACTTTAAACTGTTTCAATGGAGAAATTCTTGGTTTAGATTATGTGCATGAGTATATTCAGAAATACTTTCACTTGTTTGGATGTAAATCTTTGGTATCTTTACCAGATTCTCATGTGTTCTCTGTAAATGTTGATGCCTAATTGGTTGTCTGTTGGCCACTAAGTCCTTGATGTTCTTGAGTCTGCTTTCCAGCTAATTGACATCGTTGATCATCTACATTCTTTAATTCCTAGCACCTGTTTATATTTCATCTTTCCAGGATGGCATATGGGTGACCTCCTCAGAATACTCGAATGCGGAACCTGATCCTCTACGAAATTTTGCTGAAAAGATTGTTGATGAGATGAATTCCAAACATGTTGAAGATGTCCGAGGGTTATGCAATGTTTATGTGGAGCCAGGGTTTCAGGTGTGAATTTTTAGATGCCAAAGTTTCTTCAATTTTTTGTCTTTATCCTTTGTTTATGTCTTTTGGCTTGGATGTAAAAGTCTTGCAACCGTTTTTCTTACTTGTATAGTCAAAGCTAGTTAGTCAGTTTGATTGTCACTCCACCAGTCATTTCATGAGCAAGCTTTTTCAGTTAAATATTAGTGTAATTGCAATGTAATAGAGAACCAACGAAAGTTTCTAAATCAGATAATCTGTATATTTTGAATAGAGTGAACGAGTATGCTAGTATCTGTTTGCATCGGTCCGTATCCATAAAGATGGGCTGATAAATTTACTTTTATATTTTAGGATTGATATGCACGATTTGTGTTCCAATCTATGATCATTGTGAAGTTGTAACACAACTAGCAATGGCAGTAATATTTTTTTCCCCTTTTTTTTGTGTGTTTGTGTGTGAAAATTGTTGCCGAGCTACAGCTAGCAATATCGTTGCGCTATTTCCTCTTGGAAGATTATCTACTTTTTCCTCTTATGTCTTGCAAGTTAGGAGGCACCATGAGCCCAGTTGAGGGTTGCAATGGTTACTTTTGGTAGTTAACCTACTTTATGTCAGCTGTATATGTTCCCAATATATTCTCTGTACAACATCTGAAAAATGAAAGGCCAAGGAAAATGCAGTTGTGAACTGCACATTATTAAGTAATTAGGTTAAATTAAGTATCAAATGTGTGTTAGGTCTGTTTGCTGGCATGCTGATTTATCATGCTTACGTTCTTGAATTGCCGATGCATGCCTTGTTGCATGATGAGCTGATTTATTCCATAGTCGCACAAGAGGCAGATTATGTGCTGGCAGGGTGACAACGCCCTCTGGCATTGACCGTGTGACATGTTACAGGGGTGTGAGCCTCAGTATGCCTGTAAGATATTGGCTCGATTGGTGCCATGAAGTATGCACATTTGAGCTTGTTATTTTGGTTTAAGTACCTCAACTTACTTGATATTCAAGTGGATCAGTTTTCCTTAAGTTGGCACTGACTGTGAAAAATTATCCAGCGACCCACCCTGAAAATATACATGTTTACACCTTTGATTTCACCATGTTGGCAGGTAGCAGACACGAAGTTGATATGGGTCGACCGACTAGGGTTCGACTTATTTATTTATTCAGAGGAAGCAGTATTTGCAGCCAGAATTCCTTTCCCTAGAGAAGTTTCAGATGAAAAGGGAGCCAAGTCATCATTCAATTCCATGTCTCATCTTGCTTGGGAGATCGAAAAGGGGTATGCCACTCCCGACTTCGAGAAGGTGAAATTTCTGAAGAGGATCAGGTAGCGGCTAATTGATTCTTGTCGCAGCCCCGTGTCCTCTTTATTGTTTAGAGGTTAATCTGTCTGTGTGCAAAATGACCTTATTCTTCTGGAATTCCGCGAGTTGAAATACATGATTTGGATGCTGTGTCAAAACAAATACATGACATCATTGGCATTCCTGCTTTGTCTGAAAAGGAATGTTTGTGGATTTGTGGGCATCAAGTCATTTTTTGGGTTAAAGAATACTGAGTTATAGCTTATCAACCAAGTATTTCATTGATATAAAATTTTTCGGCCCTGTATTCCTACAAGATGGTGGCTCTATTCCTGGCCAGGCATTTGATGTTATATACTCTGTCCAGCCACATTAAGAGACACACTCTTGCTGCTTATGTTGTGATTTATGCTTTGATGTATAATATGTTCATAATACCCAAATACATTGGTTTTGGTGGATAATGTCAATACACAAATGCAGTAACTTTGGCAACAATATCATTTACATTTGACTTGATGTATGCGACAAACAACAATAGAAACAAGTAACCCTAATATGTTAAGTTCCCAGTCCTACATCCATCCATGCCTGCCATATTCCAAACACTGGATCATAATTTCCACGACAACACATTCATGGCAATTCTACTGCATCAACATAAGCATCAGTAAGCAAACTAGCATGTACAATATGCCCATCCATCTCCATAAACTTCTGCTCTCCTTCGCACTTCTTGCACTCATAGTAGAGAACTGTACTTGTGGCTAAGATCACCAAATTCAACACCACATCTTTGCCTATATGGATGAACCCAATCAACAACTGGCTTCCATCAGACTGAGCAGAAGAGACTGCCTCACACACCAAAGTGGCAACACTGCTGACAACGACGACGAGCACAGCGATCACCACTCCTTGCTTCCTGCTCCTGCTGAAGAGCTCCAATGCCCTGCCCATCGCCTCTGTTCCATAGCACTCATCCTCTATTGCCGATACCACGAGACATAGCAGCAAAACTATAGCTATGTACAGGTAATAAAAAACTGCCAGGAGGGATACGACGATGAGCAACAGAGTCAGCAGCTTTGAATTATTTGAGATGATTGCCAGACCAACAAGTACGGGGTCTGTTGACAGGACGAAGCACAGATGCAGGATGGTGATGCAGATTTGGGTCACGAGAGACCCTTTCCATGCATGTCTCGTCTTCAGGATGACATCGCTTGGTGTTGCTGGGTGCTTCCCGGTGAATGCCATGGCAGTCGCATGGATGGTTGCTGTCGTTAGCAAAGAGATGACGATGAAGAGAAGGGTCAGCAAGATCCACTGCGGAATGCTAAGCCCTTCGACATGTGCAAGGAGGCTAAAGAGATCCGTGACTCGGCTGCAGATGGGTCTCGAGAAAAATAACATGGAGAGGCTGTCTCCCAAGAGGAGGAGGGAGGAGGAAGAAGACACGAGGGTTAGGATGATGATGGGAAGGATGAGGTTCGGGTTTCGGAAGGGGATTCTGAGGGCCTCCCACAGAATCGTGGAGGTCCCAGGGAACTTACATGGTTTCGCCATCGTTGCAGGAAAGCAGCTCACATCACCATCTCTCAGTTTGCCTTGTGTAAGTGTCGAAGGGAGAGGCCTTTTGAGGTCTGTGCTTTGATGTAGGGGGATAGGAATGGGTCAAAGAGGGCAGATGAGGAAGAAGAGAAGATCTGACTTGTTCCACTGCTTCCAAAATTGAATTTTTCTGAGCATCAAATAGGTGAAAGCAACAGAGTTGACTTTTAGCAGAGTTTATAATTGGAGACTAGCAACTTGCACCAGCTCATTGGTCTTTCTTGGAGGAAGATAGAAGATGAAGTTACAAGGCCAAGCCTTTAGATCGATCTCTTCTCTTTTGCATGTCCTTTCTTGCACTCAAAATAGAACATGGTGTACAAAAAGTAGGTGACAAACTTGACCATGAGGAGAACTGGACCAGCAAATAGCAGAGTCCCAATACCCCAAGCACCGTCATCGTTGCACCCAAACACCGTCAGCACTGCTTGCTCGGCGAGTCCTAATGCTGCTGTCAGAACAAACCCGTGTAGCTTCTTCTCCTTGACGAGCTCCTCTGCTCTTGCAAGTGCACTCATCCCTTCGAAATCCTCCTCCGCCACTGCAACCACCAGGCTCAGCCTACAAGCGATCTCCGAGTGCGCAAAGACGACCGGCCCGAGGCAGGACAGCAGAGCCAGGGAGCCAGAAATCACCAGCGCTTCCGGCGCAGCTTCCCCGGCGGCCCCCGCAAAGGCTCTGAGCGCCAAGAGCAGGGAAGCCGAGGCCGTGGCGAAGAGCTCGACGTACGCCAGAGTGATCGCCGGCCTCCGCCATGTCGACAGCATGCTGGAGAGGAGCTCGCCTGGGGAGTGGGAGTGGTGGTGCTTCCCCGCGTACGTGGCTGTCGACAAGTAGGCCATCGCCATCGCCGACAGCCTTGAGCCGACGAAGCTGAGGGGCTCGAACTGCTTCGCTTTGCCCGGCGACGCTTCGATCTTCGAGAGAAGAAGGAAGAGGTTGCAGATAACGAGCACCAGAAGCGTCGTGGAGATCGTAAAGTTGTTTCCGGCGAGCAGAGCCATCGTTTCGTGCCTCATCAGCCTCCTCCACGCTGCAAGGTGTGTTATGTATATACGACGAGAGATTGCAGGTGGAAGGGGCCAACGCCTTGACCGTCCACTGCGGGAAATTGATGTGAGAAGAACTAAGACAAGGAACGGCGGTCATGTTAGACTCGGTTCTGTGAAGTCGTGCGACGGCTAAAAGACGGCAGCCTCGTTGCGGCGAACCGTTCAAGCACCGGCACATGAAGGGTTAGCGTAAGGCGTCCGACGCAGAAAAAAATTGGGTAAGATCCGCCGAGGCGGGTAGCCTTAACCGTCTGTGTTAACAGGTAGACCCGAAGGTCGTTCCCGTCCCTGTCAGGGGAGATGCCAACCGTCTCTCCTTTCTACGAACACGACAAGCGGGCGAAGTGAACCCATTAAGTAGGCTTCGAAAACCTGAAATTTATCAATGTGGGACTAAAAACTCATCCCTCGATCCTGTGATTGGCACTGTTCGATGTGGATGCTAAACACGCACCGAAACAAGGATTTAGAATGAGGATATCAGCTGTGTGGACAACAAATCCTCGAGGATGATGATATTCCTCGGTAGACTCCTACTCTGCAAGTTTGCAGAACTGGCGAAACGCCATGATCGACCAGATGGAAGGTAAGCCATGGAGATAGCTTAAAGGTCAGAGCTGTGCAGGTTATCTGGGCAAAACCTGTAAACAGAAAAGATCAATACAACTAATTAATGCTCAGGCAACTTCAACTCTGCAGAGTAAGGAAATTACTCTCAGTCTTTTTGAAGTCGCCTCATCTCTCATCATTATACTATATTGGATAAGTTATTTCTTTTGCATTATCGAACAATTTATTTAGATTTGGGTTGATGTAATTATATTTAAATATTAATATCTTTTTAGTCAGATAAAAATGTATGTATATGATATGATTGAAGTTTTGCCATCATCTATATTTCATATTATTTAATATTATTATCAGAAAATATTTTCTAATATTATACTTAATTTGAATTATTTTTGCAATATTTTAATATATTTATTAATTAAATTCCTGTTCGAAACTGATAACCCTGTGTGGGTCCTCAATCACGTGTGGAGTCCGAGCACCGGATGTGATAATAAAACCGTGTGTACTGGACAAATCTGTAGCAAAATAATTATTTCGAAGCGGCTTCATCCATATTTGGCGCTCGGTAAGGTCACCGGATGGATGTAACGCATGTGACGTCCCCGATGAGAACGTGGCTGCTGATCCATGGACTCAGTGGAACGTGGCCTTTGACTGAAGACTAAAGAAAAAGCTTCCTCCGCTGCCCACAGCACGGAGTCGGTGTCCCAATCATGGAGACATGCTCGCCTTTTCTCGTGGAAGCTCTCAGCACAAAAATATACAGCAAAAAAGAGGGGGAAAGTGTGCTTTTTTCCATCTTCCTGTGTCTTTTTCATGCAAACACCGATCCTTTTCCGGTCTTTTTGATCCTTCACATCTTATTTCGTTGCCGTCGAAACCATTTCAGCCCTTTCGTCTCGTTTCATCCCGTAAAACCATAAAAAATGATCTGCTTTTTCTTCTTCTTCTCTGCTGTTCTGCAGTTGTCTCTCTCGGATCAGATGTGTGGCCTTGTCTTCTTGCCCAATCATTCGTGTTTCTTTAGCGCCTCCTGTTCTTGGCACCAGAGAAGACGCCTCTTTACAGCTAATCCTCATCTGGTCACGGATCGATCAGCTGTTCCGGGGACGTGATGTTGGTGATTGTGATGAATAACGCGAATCCCGATCTGCGTTCTTGTCTCCTGGGCGAGAGATTAATAATAAAAAAGGCGTCTTTTTACGGTTCTCGGGATTCTCCCTTCTTGGACCTTTGTTTCTGAACCCTGTTGGATGTTTGCTTCCTCTCGTTGTCTTTGTTGCGGCAATGGAGTTGTTTGAGAAGCGGTATACGATTCGTTCCCCTTCCCAGTTCTCGAATTTGCAGTTTCAACCTCTCTCATTCCTTGGTTTTGGGAGCAATCCTCACTCCTCTGGTTCCTAGAAGGAGATTTTTTGTGGCAAAACCAACGTTTCCCGAGGGAAAAGCCTGCAGTTTTCTGATCCTCTTACAGTATGGGATCTGTAGCATAGGCAACTTCCATTGTGTTTGATTCGAAGTAGGGATATTCTATCTTTCTTGGACTGATTTCGAGACATTAGCATGGGATTCTTAAGCGTTATCGGCAATTCCTTTGGGTGTTCGACTTCCGGAGAGCGGCTGCTATCGGCGGCAAGAGAAGGAGATCTTGAGGAGGCCAAGGCTCTCGTAGAATACAACCCTCGCCTTGCTAGGTATTCGACATTTGGTGTGAATAATTCCCCTCTCCATTTCTCTGCGTCACATGGCCACCACGAGGTGATCCATCTTTTCCTTCTTTGTTCTATGACTGGTAACCTCGTTAAATCTAGTTCGACATGTCAAGGGGCTCATCTTGTGATTCCACCTTCAGATCGTCTCTGTTCTTGTCGAAACTGGTGCTAATATCAACCTCCGGAATTATAGTGGGCAGGTGAGATTTGTCTTCAATGGTGAAGGAAGAAAATAATAAGATCTGACATGCTTGCTTATATTTTTCTTAGAGAAGTTGGCTTACTGGTTTAATTATTCGATAAAAGTTTATAGTGTTGCATTAATGCACTCTCATGCATCGACAGACACCTTTGATGCTTGCTTGTCTACATGGACACTGGGAAGTTGTACAGATTCTAATTCTTTTCAAAGCCAATGTAAGATCATTCTACAAGAATAACCTTCTCATAAGGCATTCCATTCGAATTGCATCTCTTGATTAAAATCAGCCTGGTTTTTAGATACACAAAAAGGATTTTCTAAGTGGTGGAACAGCTCTCCACTTTGCCGCTCTTAATGGTCACAATCGCTGCATTCGCCTTCTTCTTGCTGATTGTGTTCCCAGCTCGCCACAGTTTTGGAATACTATGAGGGGAAGATTGGCCTCGGAAGATTCTCTTGTGGACTTTGATGAGGTGTATGTTGAATTCTCATGTCTTCGTATTTTTTGTCTTTTGGTAACTATCAAAAATTTAATAGCTTCTTTCTTCTTCCTTGTGTTCCTTTAGTGATTTATGTAAGATAGTTAATAGGAGGGCAGATGGAGGCATCACTGCGCTTCATTTGGCAGCACTAAATGGGCATGCAGAGAGTGTGCAGTTACTCCTGGACTTGGGTGCTTGTGTTTCGGAGGTCACGGTCAACGATGGAGCTACAATTGATCTAATAGGTGGTTCAACTCTTCATTATTAAGTTCCTTTTTTCTTGTTAGCATTTTGTTTTATTTCTAGGTTTATGTGAAACTACAGTTCTGGGTACAACTAATTAATTATGTGACAACCAAGTTTGATCGGTTTTTTAGGCTCCAAATTAATTCAAACCCAAGCCTGAGCATGATTAGGCTTGTTCAAGCTCGGTTCTCAATTACATCGCTAATGGACTATCTGTTGTGAACTTAATGGTTTACCTTAGTTCCAGTTTGACATAATGAAGTCTCAAACATTGTGGATGTCTGTGGACAACATAAGAAGTGATGCTGATGCCACTAGAGGAAGGTTGTCATAAGTTGTATTTATATCTGTTGCATTGGTGAATCAAACTCTTACAGTTTTTGGTAAAGTGTGTGGTTTTTCCTTCATCCTCCTCTCGTGCTACATTTCCTTTGGTAAACAAGTTGAGATTGAGGAGCTAGAGTAGCCTGTTTGCTCCTATTGGTTTTGGTGGTATCAGTAATGTAGATTTGAAGTTCGAGAAGATATAAGAATGTTTTGGCGGACAGTAAAATAAGGGGAGAGAAATCTATTATGCTCTGTGTAAGATTTTCCAGAGTTTGTATTCGGTGAGTTCATTCTGCTACTAATTTCATTTAGGTTATATTATTAGTCTTCCTTTTTTGTAGAGAATCATAGTAAGTCTTACATCAAGCAAAGTTTGTTTCACCCTCTTATGATGATTCAAAGCTCCTTTGCCCTTGATCAAACGTGCTTGTAGCCTAAGTACATTTGTTGCGAGGTAACAATTTCTGGTATCCAAAAGTGAGAATGTTTGGTTGATCATTCAAAAGGGAAGACTTTTGCCGATTGTTTAGCATTTCAAATGGAATTGCATGAGCGAGAAAGATGCGTGGCAGGGATAAGCGCTTAAAGCTTTACAGACTACCTAAAAGCCGTCATGATATTATTGGTTATGGCCAATTCATACATCGTATGAAAAACTATAAATCGTTTTGTTGTTTTTCTCAAATGATGAAAATTTAATTATTTGAGGTTAATAACAAAAATTCTCTTTCATGCATCTTCTTAAGACGTTCTTTCAATCTGACAGGAGCTGGTAGCACACCCCTTCATTATGCTGCTTGTGGTGGAAATGCAGTATGTTGTCAGGTATGTCTACTGGGACTTAACTGTTTCCACTCTATTATTCGTTTACCATAACACTAACTATAAATCTAATTCAGGAAATATGGACATGTAGGTACTTATTGCAAGAGGAGCTAGCTTGACTGCTGAAAATGCAAATGGGTATGTGTTGCACATTGCTAGACATCTAGAATTTGAGATGTGTTCCATGTGGCTAACTAACTAGATAAACTGTTGAGCAATGCGTATCTTTTGGAATAATGTAAACATCACTGTAAATTTGCAGTTGTTTAGAAAGTTTATTGCCAATGTTAATTCTAAATATTTCATAAGGCCTTATCTGGGCCTTCTGAATTGCAAACTTTGTTTGTAATTTAGGGGCAATCTAAGATCATGAGTCATGACTGCCAGAAGTTCTAGGCTATCGGATTGTATATTTCAACTTTAATCACCTAAAGTTCTAGCACTTCATTCATTCGGTGCTTTCGATTATTATGTTTGTAAGGCAAAACTTCAGGCTAAACAGAAATGTAGAGGGTAAAATGCATTAGCATACTTGAAATTTTCTATACGCAAGTAGAGGTTTTTATATACTTTCTTTTTTGGTTTGGATGTTTTCCTTGTGTGTGTAAAAGTTGGACCCCGTTGATGGTGGCTCGTTCATGGCATAAAAACTGGCTCGAGAGTATCCTACGAAAGGAACCAGAAGGTCAGATTGCTGTTCTTCCTTCAAAGTACCTCGCTTTGCCATTAATGAGCATTGTTAAAATTGCTCGGT